AAATGTTGTCTTCACTTTCTCACACTTCAGAATGTAGAAGACAGTAGGATAAAAATAATATGAAATCCTTCCATACAAATGTTTAGGAACTCTCTATAATATTGAAGGAAAAATATTTCAGAAAACAAATATATAAAAAAAGATTGTCAAGTATCCAATGCAAAAATGAAAATAGAACAAAAAATAATAAAAAAATTAAGTTTGCCTGGCATTTGAAGGTGATGGATCCTGCTACGTTAGGATGGGAACACAGCAATCACACTGGGACAAAGACGTGACTATATGTCTATCAGGAAAAGGAAGTTGTAACTGAGGTATCTTTTTAAAGCCAGGACCTTGGGGTGAAAGTAGGAAGACTAGAAAGAAATCCACCTACTGTGGAGGGAAGCCTCCTTCTGCCTGAAGTCTGGATGAAAAAAAGGAATCTGCCTTTAGAAATCAAAATCTTGGCTCATAATTTTTATTACCATTGTAGTATAGAAACCCCAAGCCAAGAAATTCTCATAAAAATTGTTCCTAATCCAGAGATGTCCCTGGGATGCCTGGCAGAAGTAAATGTAATGCTGGAAAAATACGTATCAGAGAAATATTAAGCAGAAAAACTTGGAGTAATCACATTAATATCAAAGGAGGGTGAAAGACTTTAGAGAAAAATTGGAAAAGAGAAGATATTAGGAATAATTTTAAGATTGATCTACCGGGCACATATATGGAATGCTGCAGCCCAGTCATATCATAGAGAATGCACATTCTTTATACAGAGCATTTATAAACATGTTTATTCTCTATTTATCAGGTGTAATTGCATGTAGAGACACAAAACTAGTTTCACCTAATATCAAATTATCAGCAGCTTAGATTTTGCTTTTTGCATACAATATGGATATCAATATCAAAGCATAGAGACCTTATATTTTAATATTTTAAAAATTACTCTAATATATTATAGAAAAATTACAGTAGAAACTTAAAATTTTAAATCCTATAAGACTATAGACCAAAATTAATGTGCTACTGCTACATAGAAAATTTGTAGCCATAAATGCATATATGTATATATTGAAAGGCAATGAGCTGAGCTTTTAACTTAAAAAGTTAAGTAAAAAAGAAAAAAGAGAATATATTTAGGTAAAATTTATTAATGCCAATAATAGACATGGAACATAACATTCAAGTGAAAAAATTAGTATAATTATCTGCAAATTCCAAAACTAGTTCTTTGAAAATATTGATCAATTAACTTCTGGCAAAACTGATGAAAGGGGAAAAAAGACATAGTAAGTTAATATTAGTATAGGAAAGAGTATAAAGTAATATTAAATGGCAATGATTTAAAAAATTATTTTATTTATTTACTTTTAGAGAGGGGGGAAGGGAAGGAGAAAGGGAAGTTGATAAACATCGATATGAGAAACATCAGTGGGTTGTCCTGTGACTGCACAAGTATGTTATATTAACAGAGAAACTGTAAAAATAAATTTAATAATAGTTGTGCAAAACTTTTATGAAGAAAAAAACTTTATTAAAAGACATAAAAATAATTAAAATAAATTGAGGGGTATAACATTCATGGATAGAAGACAATGTAATTTTCTCAAATGAATCCATTAATTCAATGCAATCCCAATAAAATCCCGAAATGCCTATTCATGATGCATGACAAACGAATACATAAGTTCATATAAAAATAATGGCCCACAAATATCCCCAATATTGAATAATAATATTAGAAGATTATAATACTGATGATGATGATGATAGAAGATCCACCGTTTCATTCATTAAACTTATATTAATTTAAACGGTATGGCACCAGTTAAAATAAAATGCAATAGCAAGACTGTAAACCAATCCACCTATGAGTTAGATCTTATTATATGACAGTAGCTTCATTAGCAAAAAAAAAAAACACAAAAACAACAAAAAAAAAAACCCCCACAAAAAAAAAAAAAAAAAAAAAAAACAAAAAAAAAAAAAAAAAATATTTCAATAAATTACATGAGAATAATTGGCCATCCATAAGGCAGAGGTAAAGCTGAAAGTCCACTTCATAATAGGTTGTGGGTGGATTAAAGACACAAATTTAAAAAGTCTACTTTAAAATACGTAAAAAAAAGTTTTCTGACATCAAAATGAAAAGGAGTCTCCTAGCAAATACAAAACAAAACAAACAAACATAAAACATTCCCCTCAAATATTCAAGGTGAATATTGATAAATTTGACCATATTAATATTTTAAAATATAAGAAATATCATGAAAATAAAAACCACAGATTGAAAAGCATTTATAATACATATAATTAATAAGTGAATAATATTCAAATTAACCCCCCTCAAAATACCTAAATTGATAAACAACTAAAAGGAAAATGGTCAAAGATTGTAAATAAAAAGCTAGAATTATGAATATGCATATAAAAATTGCTGAACCTTACTAGTAATCAAAGTAATGCAAAATAAAACAATAATGAGATTCTCATACACTAAAAAATGTCAGAATTTTAAAAGTCTGTGGAGCAATTTCTATATACCAAATAAAGTTGAAGCTACCCATAGTATATTATAATTCAGAAATTCTACTTCTAGTTATCTGAGAATGTATAGTGCACATGCACAAGAAGTGTAAAAACAACCTTTGCCACAATGTAATACTAAAAGTGTGCCAATTACCTCACTTTATACAAATATAAAGCTAAGTGAAAAAAATCATAATTTGTATAAAATGGCATGGTCTGTAAAATAACTGAATGTTTATGTCTCTATATATGCCTATACCTATGTCTACCTATATCTATCTATATCTATGTAACAAAAAACTTGAAATAATTAACATTAACCTCAGAGTAAGACTTAAATGTATAACATTTTATATTTGCTCATTGGAAAAGGGTATTGATGAAGAAAATATAGTAAAATAACGTTAAAACTAGATATAGGTCATCATTGTATGTTGTATTATTTTTTATTCTTTTATATATGAGGAATGTCTCATAACAAAAAAATACAGTCAAAGTAAAAGACATTTTATTTTTGTTTAGATAAAAATGTTATATGAAAGCTTGGGTTTGAGTCCCAGCTTTGCTTCTATGTGCTTCATTCAATAAATGAAGATAGTAGAAGCTATTTAAATTGGTGCTTTCAAGAATTATTGAGATCCAATGAAAATTACTGTATGTGTATGAAAATAGCTATTAGAAATTTTAAGGCACTCTATTAATGTAATGTTATTTTCCAAGCACTATAATGCACATTTGTATATATTATAAGGTTTCCTCACTGCCGAATTACCAAAAAAAAAAAAAAATTGAACCTTAGAAACCCAGAGAAAATTCTTCATCCATATCTAATTCAGAAATGAGCTGGAAAGGCTTTTAAAGACTATATGTTAATGATTTTTATTTAATATTTACTTTTCTGGGCTATTTGGAACAAACTTAGAACAAGGAATTAAACCAACATTAAAGCAAACATATGAGTCCAACTATATAATATTTTTGAAAAGCCAAAAATAAGGAGACATTTAAAAGATCAGTGGTTGCCAGGGGCTTGGGAGGGAGTAAGGAAGGGAAGAAGGAACAGGTCAAGCACAGGAGATAATATTGGCAATGAAACTATTCTGTATGAGGTATATGATTTCCTATTCTTTAATGATGGTGCATGTCATTATTCACTTGTCAAAACCCTTAGGAGTGTACAACATAAAGTGTGAACCTTAATGGAAACTATGGACTTCAGTAATAATAATATATTAATACTGGCTCATCAATAGCAACAAATACGTCATGTGAATGCAAGATGTTAGTAGCAGGGGGCAGAGGAGAGAGAGGATAATTTGGAAACTCTACCTTCTGTTAGTTTTTTTTCTGGAAATCTGAAGCTGCTCTAAAAAAAATGCATAGCATCTAAATTAAAACTACAATCCTCAGGCTTTAAACAGTTTTTCATTCTTATACATGAGACATTCAGGCATTCTCTCAGTGTCCCTTCACTCCTATTTCAGTTATAATTGTAACAGTTTCAGTGTACTGATTTTCCATTTATGTTGTTAGGAGGGTACATTCAAGGAGGAAGCAACTACTTATCCTAACAATTTTCACCTAGTATTCAGAAGTGACATTTGAAGGCTTGTTGGTACTATAGCATGTCTGTTTTGAATTAGCTGTTTTATTTTTGCCTCCCACCCCATGCCAACACTACCACCTGGCTTCCCTTGAACCTCCCCTACAAAACTCCTTGACTGACAGAATTAAAATCCAGATTAACCGATGTTACCACCAAAAGCCTTTAAAGATCACTTCAGGGCTGTGACTAGGGCCCCTACTAATTGGTGTCTTTGTCTTATTTGTTATCAAAATTTTGAATATCAATCATAAATAGAAGAACTCAGAGTCAGAGCAATCGGTGAATATTTAGAATACCGGATGGAGACCTAAAAACAGGTAGAAATGAAGAATCCAATTTTTGAAAATATGTATAGCTTTAAGAATCTATATTATTTTAATTTGTGTAATACGTTATAGTTTTCAAAGTGATAATGTAACAATGAATCATATAGGAAAGTTTATCTTTCACATGTTCTTTTTCTGATGTTAGGAAAGTACTTAAAATTCTTTGGAAATATTTTTATCTGACTTTTAATTTCTTTTATTTCTTTAAAAATGTGAGTCACCCACATTCCCCCAAGGTTGTCTCTTGTGTGCTCTCATGTTGAACCCCATTGCATCTCTAAAGGTGAGGTTCAGAATCACCTGTTTATAGCTCTGCGGTCCTACGGGGCCTGAGCAATTGTATCTTTGTCAGCGCAGCACAGCAAGCACCTAAAATGGTGCCAATGCAAAGTACTGAACAAATATTTGTCAAAAAAGTATAGCTGGTTATCTACAAAAATTTAATTGTTCAAAATGATCTTGCTGGTGATATTAGATAAATAATTTGAAAGTTTTAAGAAAAGACACAAAAATATAGAAAAAAATCATCTTGTAATTTTTTTTTCCCTCAGAAGAAATAATTGTCAACATGCAAGTTCGGACAGTCACAGAATTCAAAACAGTTACTAATGTTGTTGGATATTTAAAGGGCTTGACTTCTCCAGGTAAGTAGGGTAAAGAATTTATAATCTGCACTTTACATGAAATATCACAAAGATTTGCTCTATAATAATTTAATAGCACAGTTAAATATCCCACTTTTATTTAAACAGAAGTTTATACCACTCTCAGAGGGTCAATATGAAACCAAGGAATAGGCCTTAATTTTCTTTCTAAGCACGTATCTTCAAAAACAAATCATAGTGGAGAGTGTAAGAGGAAAATAGAAACAAAATAGAAAACAAAGTTTAGATGTGTTAAACTGGCATGTGCCTGGTGAGGAAAAGCTATAAAACCCAATGTTTATCTTTTTCTTTCTTTATTCACCACAATACCATTGAAAACATTTTTATTAAAAAAAGCATTAAAACATAAAATATTTATGTTTTAATGGTGTGTTTTTTAAAATAAATTTTTGTTTTCAGATCTAATCTTTTAATGTCAATCTATATCTCATCTCTGACTTTCAGTTCACTGACAATTCTGCTTATTGTTAGCATGGCTTTAGATATTGAAGGTGTTTATGAAAATGATCACCAGTTAAGTTTTAAATAATTTAATAATTGTTAAAGGGTGTTCATTGAATCTTGAGATGATGTTGTAAAGGCTAAAAAAGTAAAAATAGCCCCGGCTGGTGTGGCTCAGTAGATTGAGCGCAGGCTTGCAAACGAAAGGGTCACTGGTTCAATTCCCAGTCAGGACACATACCTGGGTTGTGGGCCAAGTCCCCAGTTGGGGGCATATGAGAGGCAACCACACATTGATGTTTCTCTCCCTCTCTTTCTCCCTCCCTTCCCCTCTCTCTAAAGAGAATAAATAAATAAATAAATGTAAAATCTTTTTAAAAACTTATAAAAAAGTAGAAATAACAAACACATATATTAAGAGATTAATAGCTACACTTCCCAATATATTGTGAGGCTGAATCACATATTACTGTCTGATGTGCTTGTTAAACAGTGTAGAATGCAACAATCTTTTTAATATACTTGTGCCACTTCTTTTAATTTAGTTAGGATATTTGCTCAAGTTCTCCTTGGACAATTATTGTTCTCTATGACATTAGTCAAAGTGACTGTATAATTACTAACTAAGATCAAGTTTTATACCTGCCCAGTTTCTTGCCAGCCAATTCTCACAAAATTAATGGGAAGTATATATTCTCTCTGATTTTCTTCCTGTAGTAATACGGAACTTCTGTTCAAAACACACGATGCAAATAAATTTTAAAATTGTTACCATTGCATTTAACAAATTCTCATCACAAAGATCTCTAATTGGGGCACTAGAAATATAGAAGTTGGCAAAAGTTGGTTTACATTTGTTAGTGCACAAAACACAGTTAATAAAGCTATTGTAGTAATTCCCTAATGTCTTTCTCCATAACAACCATAAATCTACTTTTACCTACCCTTGTATTTATCAAAATTGCTGCATTCACAAATTATTATTGAAAAATTATAGTACAGTATTATGTTAGCTTTAGGGTAAAAACAGTTTTATTGAAATTCAATATAGAAAAAATTAATTAATTTACTAGTGGTATTTTTCAGTGCGTATCAGTGAAATTTTTTTTATTTGAATTCTACACAAAAATATCACATGATTCTTAATGACACTGAAATTTAGAAACAATCTCAATCAGTATTAGGAATTTAGATGTTTATTTAGAGTAAAGACAATTCCAAACAGAAATTTCATGCACATCTGGAATATGAGTGAATAAATTCCTGGGGTTCCAACATTTGCAGACACACTATGAATACCATTAATTAAATCTGATGAAATGTTGGCAGATAAAAGTCACTGCTGGCTTCAATATCAATGTGGAAAACCAAAATAACTTCAAACAGTGATGTTTTGCAGAAGGTAGGTTTTTGATACCATAAGTCAACTAGTGATTAATTTATTCCACACATACATAGTACTTATTATGTAGCAGGCGCTATTCAAACTGCCTTACAGATAGTAACTCACTTAAAACTCAAAACAACTAATGATGTATGTACTATTTTTATTCCCATTCTACAGTTGAATGAAATTAAGACATAGAAAGGTTAAATAAGCTTTCCAAGGTCACACAACTAATAAATTGAATAGCCTGGGTTCAAATCCATGCAGGCAGGCTTCAGAGTCTGCACACTCTAGCACCGAGCTATAAGACAAGCGTGTAGCTCATTGAGCAAAGAAATTTAGCTCTGTACCAATAACATTCATTGACGAGAAAGAGGAAACTCTGAGTACTTTTAGTCTACCTTATTGATGACTGTAGTCAGTAAAGTACATTGAGTAGTCACATCCATGTGTCATTGAGACATTTCTAATAGTGTATCCAGTAGATTTTGTATAATTATGTAAAATAAAACATCTGAAAAGGAAACTTTTACAATAATTGGATGCCTTTTGATGTTGTTTGATTTTTTATTCTTTAGAGAAAAAAGAGAGGCTAAAATTGTAAGTTGAAAACTATAATTAATTCCCTAAATACGTCATTTATTGCAAAATCCATACATGACTACCACGTTTTTAATATTTACAGCTACTAAATAACTGCTCCCTCAATGTATTAATAGTTCATTAATATTTACTGAGCATACACACATTGTTTACAGGGCACTTCCCACTATGATTCTGGGAAAATGTTAGATAAATGTTTGATTGTGGCCTATTTGTATACCTCATTAATTAATATGCATGTCGCAGAGGACAGCAATATGGATCTAAGCTTTGGATTCATAATTGGGTTCAGCAGCTGCCTCTGCTTTGATATACACAGATGTGTGAATCAAGACAGAGGCTGAAAAAATGTAGACTTAACTATTAGAACAATTTTGCATAATTGTTGCTCAGTTGTGCAATAGGATTATGTAAATGTCATTAAATTTATTGTTAAGGTTTATATTTTGTTTTAATGGCTCTTGTTTGTTTCTATTTCCAGACCGGTATATCATAGTTGGCAGCCACCATCACACAGCATCCATTTATAGTGGACAAGAATGGGCCAGTGGCACTGCCGTAATTACAGCGTTGATCCAGGCCTTGATGTTCAGAGTTAAGAGAGGGTGGAGACCAGACCGCAGCATTGTTTTCTGTTCCTGGGGAGGAACAGTTTTTGGCAATATTGGCTCATATGAATGGGGAGAGGTAAGTGTATATTTATTAGTATTCTCTCTCTCTCTCTTTTCTCTAACTATAGTAGACAAAGTGAAATTGCTGAAGCCAAGGACAAAAAATGTGCATCTCAACCTGGATGTCCTATTTGCTAGATTGCTGAAATCATTCCAAGAATGAAGGAGAATGCCCTAGCTGCCGTGGCTAAGTTGGTTAGGGTGCCTTCTGGCACACTGGAAGGTTGTGGGTTCAATTCCCAAGCCAGGGCACATACCTAGGTTGAGGGTTCCATCCGTGTTTGGGACTCCTACAAGAGGCAGTTGATCAATGTTTCTCTCTCTCATTGATGTTTCTCTCTCTCTTTTTCTCTATTCCTCTCTCTAGAAAAACAAAGGAGGGGGGTGGATTAATCAGACCAGCAGTCCTCAACCTTATTTGCACCAGGGACTGGTTTCATGGACACACTTTTTCCATGGTTAGGGGGAGGAGGAAGGCAAGGGTCAGGAGGCGGAGCTCAGTCAGCAATGCAAGGGAAACTTCACTCACTCACCTGCCACTCACCTCCCACTCACCTCCTGCTGTGCAGCCAGGTTCCTAAAGGTTCCTAACATGCTGCAGCTGGCAGTTGGGGACACTTGAGTTAGACTACAGTGAACTGCATATGATCTGACACTTTCTTGTACTTGTTTCCTCCAGATCTACAGACTCTAATATACTGACAATAGTCTTTACCTGGCTATTGTGTATCTCCTTAGGTTTCTGGGCACAGGACAAGAAAAGATAAGGTGATACATAATATTACCTTTCTTTTTAAGATTTTCTAGCAAATATCTAAAATTAGTAAATGATCTCCTGTGTTAATGTCTATAACCTTAGCATCATAACTTAGATATGAAATATGGAGACTGGACTCAATATACTGTCTTTATTTCTTCCTCTCTCTTTTCTCTTCCTCCCACCATTCCTTACTCTTGCACACCTATCTCCCTGATCTTTCTTTCCTACCTGCGTAAATTCCTACCTACCTTAAGAAGCCTTTGTCCCAATGAATGGGTCATGGTTAGAAAACAATGGGAGTATTTAATTTCGAATGTTTCTATGTCTGTGTCTCATAGATGCACTGTTTTTAATGGAATATGACAGCTGATTATTGGGTTGATGCCATATTAACAACAATGAAAACATTGTAAAACTCTAAGGTATTCTATTTACTTTTATGATTTTTTCTTAAAAAAGAGGTGTAAACAACATTGAGTGCATTCGGTATGGTATGGAATCTAATGAATAAAAAGAACAAGCAAAATAGAAACAGACTCAGAGAGAGCTGGCTGACAGCTGTGAGGAGGGGTACGGGGGTAGGGAGGGTGGAACTGAGTGAAAAAAAGAGGAGAAAAACTCATGGACACAGACAACAGTGTGGTGACTGTGGGGAGTGAGGAAAGGTGGAGTGAAGAGGTGGAGGAGAATATGTAGGTAGAATAAATGGTGATGTACAGAGACTTGACTTTGGGTAGTAAACACACAATACAGTATGCAGATGATGTGTTATAGAATTATGCATCTGAAACTTAAATAAATTTGTTAACTAGTTTCACCTCAATATATTCAACAAAAAGGAAAGTTAGGAAAAAAGAAAAAAGGAAGTGCAAAGGAAATATAGGAAAAAAAACTACAAATTTAGCTAGGAAAATAAAACCATTTTAATTTATTCACTCCCTCAGTTTTGGAGGAAAAAATTGGAAATATCTAATGAGAAATATTCTTGTTTCATTTTTTTATTTAAGCACTCAAGAAAAGATGAAATATTTATTGAATATCTAGGAAAACATCAAAAAAGTATATGTAAGAAAATAGCAAGTATCTTTTTAATTTGAAGGAAAGTCTTAAAATTGAGAAAACAATTTATAGTTTAAAATATGTCAAGATTCACACATTACAAATCAGAATGCTTTTCCATATATAAATTAATGAAGTGAATGCTGTTCCATATTCAGAAAAGCTAATTCAAATATATGAATTCCATTACTGAAAGAACTTTTATAAATTAACACATTTTTAGTAAGACAGAAAATGTAATAGTTAAAACAACCTCCCAAACTTCTATTCCAAATTACTTACTTTTAAAATATAAGTAAGTTTAACAAATTGGGAGATAAATTTGTGACCTGGGCTGCCTTAATAATTCAGAATATATTTATCAGAAAGAAAATGTAGTTTTTGTTATAATAATAAGGCACACTTGAAGATAATGTCTTGAAGATTCTTTTTAAATCTCCAAAATTTATTCTATTGTATTAAGCAGTCTTCTTGATATCTATCTGGTAACTTTCACAATTAATTTATGTTAGTCCTAAAGTAATATGTATACTTCTGAGCTATGTTCTCAAAGTAGGTTTATCTATTTAATATTAATAGCTACTAACTTCAATATCTTGAGCATTTGTTTATGGGGAAGTATATTGCAAAAAGTCCTTGAGTTTATTTGGGCAATCAGGCATTTTAGCCTGTGAGCTGAATCAATAATGTGACCTTGGCTGAATATGAACAATTATATTTTTAAAATTAAGTATATATTTTTGTGGTTAATACAATACAAATTCTTTAAGTTTTGCCCAATATGTTGTATATTTTTGTGATTTTATATTTTCTCAATCAACAGATACTAAAATTACAATTCATAGTCATATGGGAGTCCATAGAAAAAATGTTTATGTTACAAAGTCTTTCAATTTGACAGGATTAGGAACCCATACCCTAGAATATGTATGCACGTGTACATATTTGACAACTAATCATGCATTCAATCATTTTCTAGACTTTTTCATGACTTTTTGGGCAAAGATATATGAGTAAAGAAGATGTTTAATACTAAATAGATTTAATTTTTAGCTTTTAAAACATACTATTATAACTTACTCTATCTTAGAAGATTATTTCAGTAAAGTTTGTGAAGACATTTTGTATCTAGTTGAAAAGGAATTTAGAAAACTGTTTTCTTATTCTGTCTACTCTTATCAATTTACTCTTATGAAACACTTTCTTTTAGGCTGAAACCAGTTTATGCTCAAAATATATTCCCAAGTGAAACTGAGTGAGGAAAAAATTTTGTTGACCTTTTATATTTTCCTATTTAATTTTGTTTGCATGGAAACCCCTTGAAATCCACAGATATAATTAAAGCAATTAGGTGATTTTGGTCAATAAACTTAAAAATGAATTTTATAGTGAAAGTGTTATGAGAGAGTTGACACAATACTCATCTTGATCCTTGGGGAGAATGACAACATTTCACTATATAGATTCTTTAAAAAAAAAAATACCATTTCTTCTGTGAAGAATCTTTATTTTTCACAGGCTATTGTGGAAATACTACAAATTTTACAGTCAAAGAAGCCTGAGTTCAAATCTTCTAGGCTATAAAATTCATAGTCGCTTACAAGACTTGATTTATCTAATGAGAACACTTAGGCCTATATCATAACAATCCCTTGAGAATTAAATGGACTAACATATAAACAGTATCTATGAGCTAGTGTATAAGTAAAAGCTGTTTTTCTATAGGTGCTTGTGTAACATTGGACATTTTAAAAATATTATGTGTAAAGCAGAGTACTTAAGTTTAAAGTCTATCAATTCTTTTTTGTAAAAACTTATTAATTTAATTTAATTTTATTTTATTGTTGTTCAAGTACTTTTGTCTCCATTTTCCTGCCACCACTTTCCCCACCCCGCCCACCCCCACTCTCACCCTCAATTCAAAATATTTATTCCCTTTAAATCAATTGTCTTTTCACCCCTTTTATAGAGGCGTAGCTGAATTTTCAATATAAAATAGGAGTAACATTGATTTCCTAGGTACTAGAAGTCCTTGCAGTCTTTCCTCTGATAGCGTTGGAAAAAGAAATACATAAACTTAAGATATGAAATAATATGATTTTTAGGATATTTCTCTAGGACTGCCACCATGGCAATCACTCATTAAATATTTGTTCAAGAAAAGGAGGAAAATATTAGATGGACTTCTTGGTAGTGATGCATTATTAAAAGGATAACTTGTGTTCAGTTTTGGGGGGTAGGTTTCAGCAGAAAAGTGAAAAAGCCAAAGAAAAAGCAAAAGTGAAAAGTCAAAAGAAATGATTCTATTGAAACATTTCATGTTACTAATGTGCATGAAATGCATCAGGTTTTATTTCAGGTAAAATGTGCCAGGACACAATTATGTTACGCTCCATTTTGCTCAGAATAAAGAGCCACTTTGTGCAAAAAGTAGCTTATTGCTTCAAGGGAAAAGGTTGGTTTATTAATCACTGAAGTAGTTTTCCCTTGTCTGTTCTCTAACTCAAAGACTATAAAATTAAGTTCCATCACTAGACCAAATATTCCATTCTGTATTCTGGAGGTGAATCTCATACATTAACCATTTAAGAATATATTCTCTTAAAATTTGACTTTTCTCATAAACACGTTTTAAAATATTTCATCAAAATATTATATTTAACTCCTCACCACATTTATTTAAAATCCTTTTATGACTTTTTGTACTCATATTAAATAGCATGAAATTACTTATTTTTTAAAAAAGTACAATGTAACAATTTTAAGTAGAGCATTTATTATTCAATATGTAACTGATTAAAGAGAATCTGTTATTTTTACTTATGTTAGATTGTTTTGTTGTTTTTTTGACTTCAGGATCTCAAGAAGGTTCTGCAGAGAAATGTTGTTGCTTATGTAAGTCTCCATAGTCCCGTAAGGGGTAACTCAAGTCTACACTCTGTAGCTTCACCATCTCTTCAGCAACTCGTAGCAGAGGTAAGAGGAACTGCTTCATTATAAAATGAGTGGGCAAAACTGCTGTTTTTTTCTATAATTTGGCATTTCTTGATATATTTTATATGTGTAAAATCATCTGTCAGTGTACTGTTGAGTTTTTATCAATATCCCTTCAACCAATTTCTTATGTCCTGAAGTTTTTGTACTCACTACTCTTTTATGGTTATAGTTATATGTATGAATTGTACAGTTACAGGAAAGGTATGTACAAATGGAAATTTATTTTGTAAAATTTGAACTTGGCTCTCAAGTTCCCAATTCTGCCACTCTTTTCATTTTGTGGTAAACTTAGTTTCTTTAGGATTTTTTCCCCTTCATTCATGTTTTGAGAAAATTTGGACTTGTCCTATGTTTTCAACTGCATTGTTAGCAAGATCTGTGTCTTAACTGCTAGAATAAATGGATAACTAAAGTCAAAATACTTAGAAAACAATGTTTAAAAAAAACATAGAGAACAGAACCATGCATTTTACTACAAAGCAACTTCAAAAAAATTTAAGTAATTACTACAAAGCAACTTCAAAAAAATTCAGGCAATTATTTATTTTCAACAATTTATAGTCACTTCTCACCTGTTTCAAAGAAATTTTGCACATTTTGTTTTATAAGCAGAGTTTATACTTTTATTTCTGCATTCTCTTTATAACTTTCCCTTCTGATAAAATGCTCTGTGAGTGCTCAGAATGGAAGCAATCACGCCACCGCTGGAAGGTGATCTCCTCTCAACCCCAAGCAAAGGCTATGGGTGGATATCAGAGATGACCTTTTTATGCCCACAGAGTTTCCGATAAATATCACAGAAACTGAATTAGAAACAGAAAGAGATAACGAGCAGTGCTTTGGATTAGCCATAATTCCTGACTGAAATGTAATGCAAACTAAAATTTAATACTTTCATAAAGTATATTCTAGTTTAATAGTTTTTATTGACATTTCCATATGTAGTGAAATAAAGAAGATGTTGTGAAAGATGAAATGAATCAATCAGTACATTTAAAATAAGCCAAACCCTAATATACATACCTTAAGTTATATTCAGATCTGTTAATAAATTCCTCTTAATCAGTTTACAGCTTGGACTTCTCTAAATTTATCTGCCTGGGAAATACTCAAAAGAGGAAAATCAGGGTAGATGTCGTCCTTGGGAAGTTAAAATTTCTGAATAAGTGGGTGATCAAGAACAAGAAAGTATAAGTAAGCTTAATTATCCAGAAATTGGGGAAAGTTAGTTTAAAAATTGTGTTCATTCCTTCTCATATGTTTCCTAACTTGCGACTCTTGAGATATATGTAATCAATGAACTTTATAGGTAAACATAAACTTTTAAGGAGTATCATACCCATCTGTAAGAATTTCATGTTTATAGAAATATCTGAGAATATAATTCTTTTAAAAATGTCTTGCCACATTTATAACAGAGCACTGGAAAATATCGCTACCTAAATCTAACTAGTATCTAAAGGTACAGCATGGTTTCTCAGTAATGAATAGTGGCATAGAAGATGTACCTCCTTATTAATATGGGAGAGGAGTTTTGGTTCTATATTGAAAATGTTTACATAAAAAACCTACAACTGAACAAATTGGAAAACAAATTTTTTTCCATTGAGATTGTGTGTATATGTGTGTATGTGTTTCTTAGGAAACTTTAGAATAAGATTATCACAAGTTCAAACAAACAATAGCATATGAAATTTTAAAACATGGAGATTATTTATTTTTATATATTAAAATATATAATTTGAGACTTCTGGTCAAAATGGAGGTGTAGGTAATTATACCTTGCCTCCTTGAACAACTATAGCAAAAGATACAACGAGACTACAAAACAAATGTCACCCAGAAGTGTCAGGAAAATCAAGCTGTTTGAAAGTCTGACAACCAAGGATTTAAAGAAGCCACATACATCCAAATGGGTAAGAGGGGCGGAGGGGAGAGGGGGCAGAGATGCAGAGACATGCAGGGAAGGCACTAAGAAGAAGAGAAGAGCAGAACAGCCCCGAGACTTGGAATGGGCAGTCCCACATCCATGTGTGGTAGATAAAATTTGAGAAGGCTACCTCAGGAGCAAGGGATTCCAGCCCCAGAACAGACTACACAGCCCAGAGCTCGAGCACCAGGAACATAAATCCCTGTAACTTCTGGCTATAAAAATCAGTGGGGGTAAAAGCAGTGGAAGAAACTGTGGGATTCTCAAGAGAGTCCTCTTATAGGGCCCACAACAAGTTTAGGACTTGCACAGACCTACCCTCTCTGGGATTCAGCACCAGGGTAACAGCTGAAAGGGCACCAGTGGCATACGGGGAGAAAGTGAAATGACTGGCAACAGGACAAGTGCTAGAAGACAGCTTCCTCCTGAGCAAAACTCCAGAGGTCAGGCAGTGGCATTGTCCCCTCTCTGAGCCCTCACCCATACAGAGCAAGAAAACAGTGACAGGGGCTGCTCCACCCTGGTAATTACCTAAGGCTCTGCCCCATAGAACTTACAGGTATGCTTTTTGCTATAGGCCACGCTACTAAAACAGGTAGTCAAAGTAGCTCTATCTAATACACAGGGAGGCTATCAAAATGAAGAGACAAAGATACATGGCCCAAATGAAAGAACAGAACAAAACTCTAGGAAAGAGCTAAATGAAATGGAGATAAACAATCTATCAGATGCACAGTTCAAAACACTTGCTGTCAAGATGCTCATTAAGTATTTCAAAACATATAAAAGAGCCAGGCAGAAATGAAGATTGCATCAAGTGAAATAACAATCTACGGGGAACCAACAGTGGAGGGGATGAAGCCAAGAATCAAATCAATAATTTGGAACACAAGGAAGAAAAAGCGATTCAAAGAAAATGAGAACAGGCTAAGGAACCTCTGGGGCATTTTTAAATGTACCATCTGAATCATAGGGGTGCCAGAAGAAGAAGATAAACAGCGAGAAATTGAAAACTTATTTAAAAAAATAATGAAAAAAAAAAGTCCCTAGTTTGGTGAAGGAAATAGACATACAAGTCCAGGAAGCACAGAGAGTTCCAAACAAGAAGGACCAAACAGAATCACACCAAGAGACATCATAATTAAAATGCCAAAGGTTGAAGATAAAGGGAGAATCTTAAAAGCTGCAAGAGAAAGGCAAACAGTTGCCTACAAAGGAGTTCCCACAAGACTGTCAGCTGCTTCTCAAAAGAAACTTCGCAGGCTAGAAGAGACTGGCAAGAAGTATGCAAAGTGATGAAAAGCAAGGACTAACAACCTAGATTACTCTATCCAGCAAAACTATCATTTAGAATGGAAGGGCAGAAAAAGTGCTTCCAGACAAGGTACAACTAAAGGAGTTCATCACCACCACGCCATTATTATATGAAATGCTAAAGGGAATTATATAAGAAAAAGATCAAAATGATGAGCATTAAAATGGCAATAAATTCACAACTATCAGTAATTGAATCCAAATAACAAACTAAGCAAACAAGCAGAAAAGGAACAGAATTGTAGGTAGTGGAGGTCATTTGGGGAGTTATCATTTGGGGGGAGAAAGGGGGAGAATAGGGGAAAAGGTGCAGGGATTAAGAAGCACAACTTGGTAGTACAAAATAGACAGGGGGATGTTAAGAACTGTATAAGAAATAGAGTGGCCAAAGAACTCATGTGCATGACCCATGAACATGAACTAAGAGGGAGATTGCTGGAGAGATTGGGGAGTACTGGGTGGAGGGGGGTAAAGGGGAAAAATTGCAACTGCAATAGCATCATCAATAAAATATATTGTAAAAATAAACATTAAAAATAAAATATATATGATAATTTAAGGTATATTTGCATACAAATATTTAAAATCATATATTTTCTTTAAGTTACATAAACACTCTGAATCATAAAAAGAATCATTTTTTATATGAATCATATGAAAAAAACAAAACCTTTCAGTAACTTGTATAGTTAAATTAAAATAATTTACCACTAGTGACATTAAAAGAAAGCTTTACATTTTTATTTTAAAATATATCTTAACTATAACTTCAGAACATGTGTAACTTCATTTACAGAAAAAAAATGTCATCAGTCTTCAATATCTTTAGATTCTGTTATCATACACAAATCACATGTTGCATATAATTTAGCACAAACATAAAAGTAATTTTAAATATTTTTTTACATGTAACAATCTTTTCTATATAGAAAGCATGTTGACTAAGTTGTAGATGACAGAGGCTATACAGACTATTAGATACTCTTGTATATATAGAAGTGCAGATTCCAAAACATCTTGAAGTAATATACAGTATTTTATTGAAAAAAACTGGACACATATAGGATATTTTAATGTATTACAAGCTTGATAAAAAACAAAAATGTGAAATGGTGGCCCCAAATCCAACACCAGTTCCAATTTCATTAACTATATGTTCTCCAAAACTAGAAAGATAATCTACTCTACTTGGTCCATCACAGCTGGAATGGTATACTTTGTTTTAGTGTTAGACTCATTAGATAAATTGGTATATACCTTACATATAGTAAAATTTTCCCTTCTTAAGTGTATAGCTTGATGAATTTTGAAAAAGGTACGCAGTCATGTAAACACCGTCAGTCAAGATACACAGTATTTCCATCAACTCTCAAATTCCCACCCTTTCCCTATGCATTCAGTCTCCTCCCTTCATCCCTAGTTCCTAGCAAACACTTAACCAATATTTCCCCTATAGGTTTGTCTTTCAGAATACAAAAAAAGAAAGAAAGCATACAGTATGTAGCCCTTTGTGCATGGCTTCTTTTACTTAGCATAATGATTTTTAAGTGACTCTTGTAGTTACTCATGTCAGCAGTTCTGTGACATCTTCGAGACCACTAAGAAGACAGTTTTGACTAGGACAAATGCACTACCTTTGGAACTTTCCTTCTAGTTTGATATTCTAACTTCGATTTTGAAATAAAGAGAATTAAACCATTGACATTAAGAAAAGAAACCATTTCCCTGAGGGTAA